TGGGTGCATTTTTATATATTCTATAGCCTGCTGTCTAAAACTTGTGAGGCCTGATATGTTAGGGATTCAGAATTTGAGGATTGGGAAACAGAGAACGTACATATGTTCATATCGGATGATGCCTTACAAAGTCTGAGGCAGCCGCCGCAGTTCAGATAGGACTATTTCTGCAGAAAGATGGATGAACAGTCACACTGGAAGGAGCTTTCCATCATTTCAGGTTAGAATTGGAATGAATTGGGTCAAGTAAGGTTTTTCTTTCTCAAAATGGTAATGAAGAAAGGCTCAGTTTTCTGAGGTTTTCAGTTTTCAGTGCTGCAGTGGTGAAGTGCAAAGCACACACTCACATTTCCCTACAAACCAAAGTGGAGACAAATTTTATGTGGGGACTAAAGTGAAAATCACAACTCATCAGATATAACTTTGAAAACCCTGGAGGAAATGCTGCCAGCATGAGACTAGACCAGTGCCTCGTCAGTTCAGCTCAAGAAGGAAATGGTACATGTAGTGTTCACATCTTTGAACATTAGATCATCCCAGCCACACGCAATGCAAGCAGATGATCCACTCATGAGAAGCCCAAAGCCCTGGAGACCAATGGAGCTGGGTCTCTTATGCTCATTTTGGTAGAATATATTCTTTAATGGTTGGCAGAAATGACCCCTTATTGAAAAAACAAAGCAAAACCTATCCCCAAACAACAACAACAAAACCTTGTGCATAGGTGTGTGTGTGTGTGTGTGTGTGTGTGTGTGTGTGTGTGTGTGTAAGGCTGTGACTATAGTTGAAAATATATATTAAATGCCCTTTGGATTTAGCATCACTGTGAGCATGTATTGTGTTTATTTCCTTATTTTGAATCATTTCCTCTGGTAGACTTTAAACTCAATGAATGTATACTATCTGGTTCACCATCGCTTCTCCAAAGCTAAGTATCATGCCAGGGCTCATGAAATATTTACATATTAAGAGGCACTGTTGTGATGCTTAAGAGCACAGACTCTGTCACTTGGCAGCTGAAGTTTGCATCCCTGCTGTACTGCTACTGGCTGTGGGACCCTGGGCAGCCTCTCTGTGACTCAGTGTCCTCATCTGAAAAATGGGATACTTACTATATCCATGTAGATGGACTCAGTAATACTCCAACAACACACCCCCACATCCCAGTGGCTTAAAATGACAAAGGCTTTTCTTTTCCTTGTCGCATTACAGGTTCATCATAGGTTGGTCAGGATTCTCTGTGTAATCCATTTCTCACTCCATGACCCACGATGCCTTGAGCAGGCAGTACCTGGCACAATGCCAGCTGTCCTAATGGAATGAAAAGAGCATCCTTCAGGGGTCAAACACTGGTCATGCAATGCTTGGCCTGAAAATGACATAGGTCATTTCTACTTACACATTGTGCAGAACTAGCTAGAGGGGTCCAGGGAACGCAATTCTGCCATGTTCCCAGGAGCAGAGAGGCCTAGTGGAATTCTACCAGAATCTGGTTCACCACCGCATTCGCCAAAGCTATGGGTTCAAACCACCCTCCTAGGGTTATCATGGCTGTTAAAGGGCTGTGGCATAAAGCATTTGGAAGAGCATCTGGCACCTTGCTATATAAGTGTTTGCTACTGCCATTATTATAATTGAATTCATATTTTTGGAAGCCATTATAAAGTCAATGTTTAGTCTTCTCCTCATTAAACTGAATTTGCCTAATGGTGGTTTTCCGCTCTTTTCCTTTGGGTGTCAGTGAGTGTCAAAGTCCCATCGAGCAGACCCTTATCCACCTTCAGTACAAGCAGAGCAGCCCGCAGGATGCCCCTCCAGCTCACCTGTCTCAAGATGACTTTTGCGGCACAACTGGATGCAGAAAAGCAAACCCAGGTGAGTGTGCCAAAGGGAAATGAACCCGAGCAACTTCCAGGTGCTGCAAGCTGTGAACACGCCAGCCCTCAATGTTTCATACAAAAATATTTACGCTTCAGGCTGCAGCATGCACACAGTCATCTGTATTTATAAGTTTCAGATGCAATTTCCTCCAGCTCCAGTTCTCCTTTGTGTCATATAAACAAATCTCACCATCGTGAGTATAACAAGCCACACTGAAGTATGTATGTGCTCATGCCTAGCAAAAGCCTCAAATCAAAATACAATCTCGCAGAAAAGGAGTGAATATCATGGCCCTCACAAGGCTGTTTAAAAAGTGTTCTTTAGGTGCCAGAACTTAGAATTTAAATAGCACAGCAGGAATGAACATCTCAGACTCTCTGTCAATTTGATAAGAAGAAACAAACATAACCAGAAGATAATATCCTCTCACCTGTATTAAGAGCAGTAGAATCCAGTACCTTCCAAGTTACATCAGAAAGGAAAAGGGCTTAGGAGCAGTGTCTCAGACAGGTGGGAAAATAGAGGAAAGATGAGGACAGAAGCAAAACCTTTTATTCCTATTCTAATAAGGAAGTTAAAATGTACGCTTTATCAGAATTACAAGAAACAAGTTAAATCTAGCTCATCAATAGCAAGAAAAAAATATTCTGCCAAACAAGATACACGTTACGGCTTACCCACCGGAGGTCCACTGAAATGAACACTAAGCATCATTTCTGCTGCCTTATCTCCCCTATACACTCCCAGGCATCTTCTCAAAGCCAAATATTTTAGGTAATCACCATGGCCAGCCTTGCCCACAGGCAAAAATAAGTGCTAAAAAGGGTTCTTGCTTTTTTTCCTCTCGGCCTAAAAATATCTCCCACCAGTACAGCACAGCGCCCCAAATTCGCACCCTGAAAACTAGCTACAAGTTTCAACCACTTCAAAATTATCATCAGACTTCGTGGTTCAGATTCATGAACTTTGAAAGTTGTCGTAAGAGGTTCCTGAGAGAGTGGTGTATAAGACAATGAGCTTCATTAAAGCAGTAAAAAAAAAAAAAAAAAAAAAAAATGGAGGTAAAGAGAAGACACTGTGGAACTTGAAGACAAACATGTGGCAGTGAAAATGAGGAACACTTTTTCCCCTAGAATCCTCCTGGCTGTTGTCAACTCATTTGGTATCTGATAATCTTGCTTTGTCACCTTTAAATTGTATATATGTAATTAAATCAATATATAATCTATATCCAATTATTTTATATCCTAGAACCTATTGAATCTCCATTTCCTGACTAAATTTAATAAGTTTAATCATGTAGACATTGGTTAAGTATAAAATTCACCTTCTCGGCTAAAAATGTGATGGATCCAAATAATTTGAATTCATTCCATTGAACTACGTATATATATCTAGTTGATTTCACCTCAATATTTAATCAAGGTTATTTTAAAACCAATACTCTCTGTCAAGATGCAATGTACCAACTTTGTATTCAAAATAATTGAGAATATTTTGTAACCCATGATTCAATGACAGATTAGAATATCAAAATAGATCTGGGCACATCGCCATGAACTCTGCCCAAGCCTTGGGTTTTCCACATAACCAGCTCTGGTCTCTGATCAGTCTTTCTTGAGCAGACTCTGGAATGAGATTCGCTCCTTCCTTGATGTTTTTATTGTTGTTGTTTTAATCTATTGGGAAATATTTAATCAGGAAAGAATCAAAATCCCCATTCAACCTCTAAGGAAAAGCCTTCTAATTGTTGGTATTTAAGTGAATAGCTGATAAAATGAGAAAACATGGGGCCTTGTTTCATAGTTAACATCAGTTATATTTCAGGGGAAATTACTTGCTCTGAGTAAATTACAACCTGTTATAACCTGGTTATAATCCCAGTGTAAAATTCTCAGTTTCTGTGCTATTTTCTGACTTCAAATAATCCAGTGATGACAGCATTAGCGGTTCTAATCACATCTAAGTGCTTGGATTTCCAGCTATTTTTAGTCCTTTTTTTTTTTTTTTAATCGTTCCACTCCAGAATAATAGAATTATAAAAACTATCTTTAAATAGCTTAAAATAACTCCAAATTCTCTGGGCTATCAGAATTGCTTACAAAACTGGTAAAATCCAGAAAAAATTACCATAGGTAATTATTTTCAGACAAGCGAGTTTGGACTTCAGCAATTGGCAAAAACTGCTCTCGAAAGAGCAAAATCATAAATCCTACCCTTAATCTCACACAGAGCCACATACTTGAGTTTTAGAAAAAAAAGCCTTTCTCCCCCAAAGTGTCAGCTGTGTTTTATAACATAGGATAATAGTGGATATTTACAATTAGAAATCCATGTCCACAAGAGAAGGTTTGATCATTTGACCTACTTAGACAACACACTTAAAAGGTCAGAAAATTCTGAAATGGAAGATCTCCAAACAGAATCTTCACTCTGATTGCCAAGAATACGTACACTCAATCAAGTTTGTCTCAAGTGGGAAACTTCATTTTCTGGAAAATGCTTGTACACAGACAACTTCATTCCCCAATCTTTTCAAATCAAGGAGTTAACCACTTTCATTCACATTCTTATAACACACGCATAACAATCCCATCCTCTGTGGTATCAATGAGCAAGACTCAGAGGGCCCACACCAACTTGCCTTTCTTATCACTGCTGCAGTACTTGGATAAAAACTATTTTTAGAACATTCATCCAACTTCAGGAGAGAGGGACAAAACAGAGCTTGTGCTGTTTTGAGAAAGGTGAATTATGTTGTTGGCATAATAGGGGAAGATAATTTGATAATTTCTTCTTTTTTATTACATCTATTTCCTAGCCCAAGGGATATCACCTGCAATCACTGTTCCTAACACCACTTGTCTTGTTAGGTAGACCTGTGAGTCACAGAGGACAAGATTTGATTCAACACAGTCTCATCTCTAGCCTTGTCATCAGGGAGTTAGCCTTCCGAAGTTAGCCACTCATAGAGCAGGCTTTTCTCCTCCTGCTCTGTGAGCCAAGAATAAAACCAGCTACAAGTTTCAACCACTTCAAAACGTCAATCACAAGGAAGCCACGGAAATACTTTGGGCTAATGCCACAGAGCCCATGTTTCAGGAGCAGGAAAGTCTTACCTTGCTCTCTTCTCCTTCAAACACCGACTGGTGAACGTTGCATGCAAACAACGAGTTGGGGAGGTCATTGAAATCTGTGATCGCTTGGAAGGCTTCCTCCGCGAAGCACTGAGTGACAGCCCAGTCCCTGTCTATGCAGCAGAGCAAGAAAAGTCCTCCATCTTCCGCGATGTGTCCTGGCTGCGCCGGGTTCCTCATTCCAACGAAGTAAGATTCTCCCCTCATACCTGAGGATGCAAAGCCAAACAAGTGTCAGAGTAGAATTTGATGATTTCTTAAAACTTGTTGTTCAGGTCATGGCACTGGAGTGTCTGGGGCAGAGCAAGGGAGAATGATCAGGGGAAGAATCAGGGGCTATTGGAAGTTTGAAGAGCCAACAAGTTCATGTTATCCCCTGGATCTGAGTCACAATTTCCCATACAGCTCTGCTTCTGGGTAAGAACGTCAGTGCTATGGGATAAAAAACAAACAAACAACAACAACAAAACAAAAAAACTAAAAACTAAAAACAATCCACTCAACTAGGATAGGAGTTGGAGGCCAGGGCCTAGGTGCTAGTGTTTACTAGATGTGGGACCTGGGAAAGTTCCATAGTTATCTGAGCCTCTGCTTCGTTATGAGAGTCAAATGGACTCAAACAGAAATACATGTGCCAAAGAGCTTTGATACGTTTGTTACATGATGAATTATACACCACCATCACCACCACCACCACCACCACCACCACCAATGTCTAGACTTAATGGAGTTCCGGGAACTTTTCTATGATTTACATGCATTAAATAACCCATCTAACCTTCACAATAGTCTATGAGATGGGTTCCAATATTATCTCCAGTTGGGAAAACTTGGGAACAAAGCAAGGTAAGAAACGTTTACAAGGTCAACGGCAAAGACTTGAATTCAAACCAGGGAGTTTGGCACCAGAGCTCACTTTTCTATAATTTAGAAACTAAGCAGATCAAAATTAGTGCACGTCTACATTTAAGGAAGTACAATCTACTTCATTTCCACTGAATCCTGATTGCGGATACTCTAATAATTAACAGTTTAACCACTATGAGGACTCACACACACACACATATCTTCTGCATGGGATGCTTACTCTTAAGTAATTTGTGAACCTTGGATCTTGAAAGATCAATTACTATGTTGATTCATCACCCCAATCAGGAAGCCTTCTAGTATTAATCTCATCTGTGTTCCAGAATTTTATTTCCTCACTCCTTACATTCAAAATTCTATTCAACTGCAACCAGTTGGATAGTTTCTTCCATTTTGTGATACTAGTATATAATTCAGTACATTTTATCTATTTAGGACAGTCCCTACACTTTTCTTTTGGGGGGCCTATCATAGTATTATGTTCAAATGTCAATATTGAGTGGCCCAGAAGGCCATACAACTTGCCCATGGGGATGCAGATAAAACTGACAGGCAGTTATGTGGCTCCGGGATCATCTTCAGTAAACTCCTTTTTCCTAATCCCAGCACTGCACAGTCTCAGAGGAAAGAACAGAAAGGTGCTACATGAGATGTCACTCAGCCCTCGTGATGTTGAAACACAAAGCCTGGATCCCCAAACAAAAATAAGTTCCTGCTTATGTTTCTCTTGAACTCTGGTGATGAGGTTATGTTTTTTGTTTTTATTTTTCCTGGAAACAAAACCCAAATGGGACCCTGATAAGCAGTATTTGATGAAAGTATAAATAATGCATTATGTGTAAAATCTTGGACCTGGTTGGGACAGAGCCAAAAATTGGAAGAATTTGAAGTAGTATAATAATTCTAAAACCAGGTCACTGTAATTATGGTCAATAAAAATCTTATTCTATATAAAATATAATAAAACCATTCCCGTATTCTAAAGTTCTTAAAACTCCAATTAATGCAACATTTCATGTATGGGAATCAATGAAATATTTATTCTAAATAAAAATATGGTACACATTTTAAGCTTTGTTTTGTTCTATGGTTAATCCAAAATATATGAGTAGTTTTAACTAGAAGGAAAAACATGTATTTATTTTTCTTCATATTCAATTATACTGTTACTTCAGATATTTTAATATAAAATGCATAATGGCCATCATTTATTATTAGAGAATAATTATTTTAAAAGTAAAATAACTAAGAGCATTAAAATAGTATTATTTTTGATAAATGGATTATAGAAAAAATTTTAGATAATGAAGTCATAATCATCTAGTGGCATGAAACATATATATTAAGTATCAATTCTGATTTTACTTTTAATACTGTCCCTCTTATTTATAAATTTTTAAATTAATCAAAATGGGTCCCAAAATGTTATTAAACAGGTCTGAGAATGTTGCAATTATTCTTTTTCAAAAAGAATTAAAATCTATTGCTGAACAAATTAACTAAATAGATCAAATAATAAGCCTCACTCAGGACTCATTTTAATCTACTCAAATGGTCTTAACTTCTGTTCTAAATTGTAACAATAAGATTATCTTCCTGAGACTTTATTTTAAGCTAATTACTTTCAGTAAAGATTTAAAAGGTGAATGCATTTTGGCAAACAACCTATTCTACTTCTATGGAGAAGTATTTGAGAAGTCAGAGCTTTGAACAAAGAAACTTTAACTTTCAGTGCCATTACTGACTCACCTCATATTTTAGAAAAGTCGACTGATTGTTCTATGACTCAGTCTATTTCTATAAAACAGAGTAGGAAGAGGCAGAGGAGTGAACTAGGAATGAAAGAAGTAATCAAAATCAGCATTAACCACTACATAAAAGGATTTGCTACATGAAATCCGATAAAGAGACACCATTATGATAATCTCAGAGCAAGACTATTATTCTTTGGTAAGATCACTAACTTTTAGTAAAGCCAAATATTCAGAAAGGGAAATTCTGAAGATTAAAAGAGCTCCCTAATAAAGAAAAGCAAAGGTCCTACATCCCAATACTAGTTTATCTTTCTAAATTAATTTTAAAACTCTTAAGTATTGTGAAATATCTTTTGAGGCAACAATTGCCTCATATGATAAGAACTACATGTGTTGTCCTTATTTCTAAATCTGAGGGTGGTTATTCAAGAGAAACTCGCTGCCTTCAGTTCAAGGGGCAACTTTTCTGGGAAATCTCCCAACATCCCCCACGGCCCACGAAGGTGGCATCCTTGCTTTGTCCCTCGGTGATTTGCATAGTTTTCTCTCCCAGAAGTGCCCTCACTGGGACAACTGTCTACTGGTCTATGTCTCAAACCAGATAGACATAGATGGTATTTCCTTAGAGCAGAGACTGGACTGTCTTCATCAGCGTGTACATTATACTTCAAGTTCAGCCTGGTTCTTATAGAAATCCTTCAAAATGATGTTTGACTGAATTAATGAAATATGTAAAAGGAATCACTTTTAGGAAATAACAGACCAGCAAATGAGTTATAATGGCTGATTTAAATTATGAACACTAATAATATACTATTTATTTCAAATTTATACATGAATAATGAAAAGCACCCAATTATTTCAATTCAAGGTTTAATTTTATAAATCAAAGATAGCAAAAATTACTCAAAGAATTCCTCTGGCTAAATTTTGTTTTTAAATCTGTGCAGTGTAATTAAAATAACAGTTACAGTTTTTGATTATATGAGTTCACTAAGGAGAAAAAAACTGAAAAAAAATCAGAATAAAAAGGAAAATAAAATTAAACCCTAACTACCATGAGATTTATTTATGCATGCATGCATGCACGTATGCATGAGTTTCAGAACCCTAAGTAAGACATTACACCTGTGTAGGAATAGGGTACAACTCATGAGAGTGGGAAGCTGTGCATTGGCTCATAGGAATTCTGGTCTATACAGACTTAAACTGAATATAAAGGGGGAGGGATTACAAATTAAGCCCAGGAGAATGGCAAAGAGCCATGACAAGAAAAATAAAATTGTAGATATCCATGGAGATGCTCATCTTAGCTTAACTATCAAGTAAAATCTCCCCATATATTTATGAGATGTGTGATCTATAAAAAAGGCTACTGCCACATTGGTAGGAGTAGAGTGGTGATAATCTCATCTTGAGTGTCCTCATAGGTAGAAAACATCAAGGCCAATTCTGAGCACACTCCGCTATAGGAAAAATGGCATTCTTTCTAAGGGGGCTATCCAATCTTACTGAGAGGCCAAGGGTCATGCCATCTAAGAAACCCGTGCATGGGAAGACACAGCAGAGGGAAGTATAGGAAAGAAGTCTTGAGCAAAATCGCAGTTGCTTTCAAATTCTGGAGGAGAAAATGAGATTTTTGTGTATGATGCTTAGGGAGTAGAAGTCTAACCAGAGAGAAAGTATTCGATTTAATAAAAGGAGCACTAGGTCTTTTAAAAATTAATGTAAAGTCGAAATGTCTGGCCTCATGTCTAAGTGAGTAACTTGCACAGGTGCTCCATGGAGCAGAATGTCACAGAGGGAATCCAAGGACCAGGGAGACTGGCGGTTGGCATTTCCTTTAAGGTGTCTTTTCACCTTGAGATTTTTATCTTTCCAGCATTAAAAGAAGATACACAAGAAAAGAGACCCCTGTTTATCTCTGGGCTTGAAGATCCTTAAGAAAGGGTAACATATAACCTTTATCAAAAGCTCTCTCTTCAACACTTTTAAAAGTGTTGAAACTTTTAAATTGATGCTCATAACAATCCTGCCTATATTTTTCACCTTCCAGGTTATTAAAACTAGAAAGTGAGAATTAAAAAAAAAAAAAAAAGGAAATAATGATCCACAAAGGGAGAAAAATGAGCAAAACATACAAAAAGCAAATTAATTTGGGGTTTATTTTTTCTTAGACAAAAGAATGCTAAAGATTCAATTCATTTGCTTTTAAAAGAAAGAACAGGAACCTAAAACATCTGCAACAAGGACAACAAAACAGAAACAAATATGCCTTGAATCCATGTTAGGGCCAGCCGGCAGGATAAATAAGGAAATGGGATAAATGGAAATGATTAATGAATAATTCATTCTGACTTTAAGTTCAATTTTAATTGGAAAACAAGTAAATGGATTATGAGAGATTAGTTAGTGTGGAGGAACTGAAACACTGCAATGTCAGCTTGAATATTAATGTAAAAATAAGAATGCAATGTTCTATTAATTAGCAGTAGAGAAGATATTGTTATAGCTATTTTTAGGTTGAATATAAAGTTAAATGAATCAAGTTGAAAGTTTTAAACAAGTTAAACTTCCACTGTCTTT